TTCAGTCTGCGGGCATTTTCCAGGAGCTGGGGCGAGGGGTGAGGCAAGGAAAGCTGTGGTAGGAGGATGAGGTGTGGGAATAGGAACGTCTTCCATTGATAGCAACTCCTGCTGTTTGCTTTTTGACTTGGAATGCATGCTTTTTTTAATCGAGAACAAACTCTTTGTGCAGCTTGTGAATGAATTCATTCACACCTGTTACTGTTTGGCGTTCTTCTCCACACGGAGCTGCAATTGAAATGGACGCCTCTGGTCTGGTTGCCAGCCCCCTCCCGCATGCTCAGATCAGCCAAGTTTGCAAGTTTGGTGAGTTGTGCCCAAGGTCAGACGGTTGGCTCTTCTCAGCCTTGAGATGTGTTTCCCAGTTGCATGCTGTGCTATTCCTGTTGTGTTGAGCTCTTGAGCTGCAGCCCTAACTGGGGATCCAAGTAGACTGACACAGAAGGAATGGTTGAGATCTAGGTGAGCTTGGATTGGAAATGCGGTGCCAAGGGCTGCACAAATGTGAGACAGTTGTGAGCGTAAGGAAAGGCATCTGCTGGGTGAGGGCTTTGCTGGGTGAGCGTCACCGTGCTGAACAGCAGGCAGCTGTTGTCCTAGCAGACAGCCACATCCATGGGGATTGGAAGCTTCCTCTGCCTTCCAGCTCTTGGCTGCTGCTCTGAGAGTGCAGGTTCTTGCCCGGAGAGAAGCAGCAGCAGAAAGGATCCCATGCGTGGCCTCTGAGCCCTTTCAGACCAACCAGCTGGATTAGCGTGGCTGGGACCTTGGTTTGGAGTTCACCCAGCAGGCTTTGCCCAAAGCAGAATGAGCTGTGGGCACAGCGTCCAGCAGTGGAAGTGACCGACAGCTGGAGACAGCAGCAGCCTGAGCGGCGCTCTTGGGGGAAATCCTCACTGAGCAAAGGCCCAGAAGAAGAGAGCAGCTTGTCCCTGCCTTCACATAGTCAGGTTTTCCTTTCTGATCTGTTACCCCTCAGGCGCTGCCTACAGCTGTGTGATGTGCTCTGCAGGAAGTGCCGATGTTTCGCATTCAACCTTGTCTTTCACCTTGTTTTGAAGCTTAGAGGCACCCTTAATTTCTGCAGCCCTGAGCTTTGTGCCACGAGAGCTCTCCAGCTTCTACCCGTGATGTGAGACTGTAATGTGTCTACTCTGTCAGGCTCTTCTTCTCTTTTCTCTTTTAAGGTCTCTCTTTTAGTACCTCTTTTAAGGTAGGAAAATTCCTGTCTGGGCCAGGAGAAAAAGAAATGCAGCAATCTTCCCTGCACTGTTCACTTTGCCTGAGTTGCCAAGTGCTCCTCGTTTTTCTTGTACCCTGCAATTCCAAGTCCATATTTTCCCCAAAGCAAAAGAATTCAGAGGGAACCACCTACAGTTCAGTAAGCCATTTCAGTATTTATTTCTGACTGTGGCAATTCCTTCAGTTCAGAAGTCGCACTTAATTGACGGTGCCTGCTTTAATTCTGACCAAGCTTGCAGTGGCAGCTGGCTTCCCAAGGCTGCAGTACGTGGTGGTGGCACAGCCGTGGGCTTCTGCATTTGTGCCAATGCCACATTTCCTTTCTCTGTCTCGCAGGTCAGCTGGCGCTAGAAGTGGACGGCATCCAGTGTGAGTGAAGGTCAGTGCAGGAGCAGCTGCTGCTGGGAGGAAGGAAGTGCAGGCTGATGGACGCTGACGCATCTCCCGGCACGGCACCAGAGGAGGCAGCAGTGATGCTGGGGGGCAGTTGCAGAAGAACACGAGGAGCTCCTCAGCAGGAAGCCACAAACCTGCAGAAAGCTGCAGCGGACTCAGAGCACGCGGGGATGCCCAGGAGGAAATGCAGGCCCAGCGTTTGAGCAGCGCCTGGCCACGGAGTGCTGCGGCCCAAGAACCAAGCTGTTGTGCCTTTGCCCAGATGGCTTTCCAAGGTGGACTCGTCTGTCCTCACAAAAACCAGAGGGCTGACTCGTTCAAATGCTGGCTGATTGCTTGGGAGCCCAAATCCTTCTGGCCTCCAATCTGGGGGAGCCTGGGGGCAACATCTCCTGGGTCTGATCATGCAGTGCGTGAGCGAGAGGATGACCCAGGCTGGTTACACAAGAGTCATCTTAATTTCTCTGTTTTGTTCCTTCAGATAACCCCATTGGGCGGCCCTCATGTTTTCTTACAATTCAGTACCAGCCCTGGTGGCTTTGGGCCAGAGCCCAAAAGGCTGCATGCAGCCCAGGGGCTCACAGCCACAGCCCCAGTCAGAGAGGCTGGCACACGCCCTGGGCCTAAAGATGCTGCCAGAGAAGCCGGGAGTGGCCCTGGGGCCTAAACACACAGCCAGAGAGACTGGCACCGGCCAAGGGACCTGAAGGCACAGCCTGAGCGGCCAGCACCGACCCTGGGTTGAGGCACAGCCAGAGAGGCTGCACTGGCCCTGGGCCTAAACCTGGAGCCGCAGCACGAGAAGCCGGCACCAGCTTCGGGCCTGAAGCCACAGCCTGAGAGCCGGCCCTGAAGTCTGAAGCTCCAGCCAGAGAGCCAGCACCAGCCCTGGGCCATAATGCCGCGGTTACAGCCACAGGGGCAGCGCCAGAGCCAGGGCTGAAAGCCACCCCTACAGCCGGGCGGGCTGGCACCGGCCGTGGAGCCTAAAGCCAGTCCTGAAAGGCCGGCACCAGGCCTCGGCCTGACGCACAGCCCGAGAGGCCGGCACCGGCCCTGGGCACAGCTGTGCCTTCCTGTTGCTTTCTGCTGATTCCTGCAGGGCTCCACTGACCGCTCTGAGGCCGTGCTGCTCCTTACTGGTTTTCACTTGGCCATGCTGCACGTTTCTGGTCCGTACTGCTGGGCACTCCTCCCAGCTCCTACTTGTTCCTCTGGGACCCCGCTGACCACTACGACGCCATACTGCGTTTTTACTGGGCTGCCCAAGGTCATCTTCACTTCTCTGTTGCTTTACTTCAATTAACCCCCATTCAATGAACCCCATTCACCCCATTGGTGAGTCTCATGTTTCCTACAATTTGGATCTGGGAGGTGACCACTCCTTTGCCTATGATGCAAGCACAGCGGTGATGCAGGCACTTGCTGAGGTCACAGTGGTTGCCAGGCTGGGAGCGTTTGTGCCCCAGCTGGAGCAGAGCTGGTGCTCTAGTGAGCGTGCTGCACACGGAGACTGAGCTCTGTGGTTTTCGAGAGAGAGATCCTCCTGTAGAGCCCACTGGGAGCAGCGCTGCGGCGTGTGCGTCAGCTGGGCACCGCTCCGGCTGGGCAGTGACCAGGTGAGCTGGGGTTGGTGCTGGCTGGGTGCCGGGAGGTGTCTCAGCAGAAAAGCTGGGCTGGGGAGGAGTTCTCAGCCCCTCAGCATGGCTGTTTCCAGGGGAAATGGTTCTTGTGGAGATTCCATCCCACGTTTCAGTGAGGATAATGAGATGTCCTTCCTCCCCTGGAAATTCACTGCTGAGCCCCCGCCTTCATGTCGGACATCGAAAAGCAAGGAGAGCACAAGCTTCTCAGAGCACAGCTCGTGCCCCTGCCCCACGCATGGCTGGGTGCAGAGCTGTTGAGGAGATGGAGAAGGGCGCTTGCTGACACAAGCCGTGGCAGTCAGACACAAACTGGACCTGGTGGCAGGCGGCTCTTGCAGCCAGCTGACGTCCAGACGCTGCCCTCCTCAAGAGACGACATGGCGCGGCAGAAGAAAGCTGGGAAGATGCTTCTTCCTCGTGATGTTTCACTGGTGGATCCTTTCTGCAGGGTTCCTGTCCAAAAGGAGATTCTTAGAGATCAAGGCAATCAAAGACAGAGGGAAGCCAGCTCTATCCAAGAGCAGAGAAGTTCCTGTGCACAGCCCTTGGAACTTCAGCTTCCTCTGAGACAGCGGCCATGTCTCAGCCAGGGGACGACCGCAGTTCCAATTCCTGCTCTGGGAGAGGAAAGGTACGGCTGGGTTTCCTTGGCTTGCTTCTTCTTCCTTTTTCTCACGTTTAAGGGAATGGCTGGAGCAGGGGGAGCCCTGCAGGTCCTTTGGGACCTCAGTAACCAGTTGCATTCTGCGCTCGCTGCTGACAGCCCGGGCTGATGGCATGGGCATGGCTCAGGCCGTATTTTCCCTTAGTGATAAAGAACATCTCAGCACTCTGCTATCCCATCTCTGGCACGACCGGGAAGCTCTGTACAAACCTTGGCTGCCCGTTTCCTCCAACGTTTCTTCTTTCTCTCCTCAGAAGCAGCGCAGCACGGTTCGCCGCGTTTGGAGGCAGCAGCCAGCAGGCTGCCAGAGATCCAACGGCGCCTCGCAGCGCACAGAGGGACGCGATGGGGACGGGCCGTCCTCACTGCCACGCAAAAGTGAGTTTCTGCAGTCCTCTGTTGTGAAGGATGGAGGAATGCATGCTAGGTATCACTTCTGAGCAGCTGCAGTGCTGTAACGATGTCCAGTAACCACGATGGAAGCATTAGAGAGGCCGACAGCAACAGCTGATGGCAGCAGCGAGACAGAAGTCTGTGTATAAGTGGTGGTGCTCAGAGCTGAGTGCATTCCTTTTAGGGCCAAAAAATACCTGCCTCAACTTTTGCACCTGGTAGCATTTTGTTTGCTGATGCAGCTTTGCTCTGCAAAATGCAGAGCTGTCAGGCAGTCCGGGATTCCTCTGCTGCCATCTGACAGGGATGAGGGCAGTAATGCTTTGTGTAAGCACACTGCAGTCTGAACATCAGTTTCTGCTCTGGCTGTAGAACAGCGTCTTTTGGTTTTGGGGGTGGGTGTGGGCTAACAGGACAGTGCTGCTCCTGGTGTCTGTGCAATCACACTGGATCTGTTGTTGCAGGGACGGAGCCTGCGCGTCTGTGGGATGGTGCTGGGCACGGGGGGAAACGGAAAGCCTCCCCAGGTAAGAAGCTCCTGCGAGCTGTGGTGTGGGTGCTGCCTATAAGTAGAGCTGCATGCAGGGCTGTGTGTGATGGAGGAGAGAGGAAAGGCACTGCAGATCTGTGCTGACTGCAGAAGTGGCACAATGCTGTAGCAGTGGAAAGAAACGATGCTTGAGGAGCAGAAGTCTGTGGCTGGCAGTGCTAAAATGTTTGTCCAAAGAGATGCTCTTCATGTCTTTGTTTCCTTTCTGTCAGAAGCTGATGCAAGCAGCCTTCCAGCCAAGCGCAGCCTTGCAGAAAGGCAAGGCAGAAGCACCGAGTGTGGCACAGCACCCAAGAGAGGTACGGACACACAGCAGGCACCTTGGTTTGGTGCACTGTCTTTCTAGCTAGGCTCTCTGTCTGTTCTTTCTGGGACTGACGTTGCTGTGTGTTGCTTGAGGTATTAATCCCTGGGATCTACTATTACCTTCCTGTCCTATTTTGTAATCTCAACCCAACGTGCTAAGATTCCATACTGTGTACACTCGAGATCAGATTTCCTAGTATTGTGGCCCATTTTGCAGACTGAATGTACTATTGGACTCTCATATCTCCTTGCTTCTCTTCTCTTGATGATAACAGACAGAGGTGCTGAGCCCAATGGAAAGATCTACGCGAAAGCGGTGCAGGAGGTCCTTTCAGAGAGAGCTCGTCTCCAGGCTGGAGGGCTTCCTCCATCAGCAGGTCCCAGCTCAGGGGGAAGACCTGCCCCTGCCGCGTGCCCCCGCTCTGTCTCCAAGTCCCTGGCTGGAGGTAAACGCAAGGGCTTGGAAGAAGAGCAGCAAACAGCAGCGCAGCTGCCTGCCTGCAAAAGAGCGAGGGCTGAGAGCGGAGGCAGCGTGCCGGCTCCAGCAGCACAGCCTGGGCCTGCTGCAGCACGGAGCTCCAAGCTGAGAGGTAAGCAGGTGCTGTGCTACCGCCCTGCAGGGCAGGTGCTGCCCTTATCAAGCACACTGAGGCTGCACAGGGTTTGCTTTGCTTTTTCCTTCTCTGCAGAGGGGAAAAGAGTTGAAGCCTCCAAAGTCCCAAGGCAGTGAGGTGCCACAGTATGTAACCCCGTCTCTTTAACTGCATGGTGATCTTCTGTTTGTCCCCCTGGAAATGTCATTCACTGAGAAGCTTCCTGCTCAAATTTCCCGTCTTTTTTCTGCCTTCTGCTTTTGCGGTACCCTGTTTACACAGTTCTGCTGCTGACAGAATGAATTCATTTTTATTCTTGCTTTATAGCAAGAAGACGACAACAAAAAGAGAGGAGAGGGCAACTGAAGAAGGCTTCCCTCAGAGCTGCAGCTGCACATGCAGAGGTGAGTCCTTGGTGAGCGCAGACACGGCTCTTGTTGCTCTCAGTGCCTCTGTCTGACAGCCGTGAAAGATGCTGTGATGTCCTGAGGGCAGCGATGTCACAGAAAAACACCCCGCTGTGTGTCTGAGGAAATCACGCTGTCAGTGAGAGCTGCCCAGGGGAGCTTGGGTGCCTTCCTCTGCCTTCAGAAGGACACCGTTGGTAACGGCCGGAGGGTTTTGCCGTGACAAAGAGCCTTGCCATGTTGGGCACTGCGACCTTGCAAACCTCGTTCCCCCAGCAGAGCATGAATCTTAGCATAGGCAGCTGCTGTGGGAAGTAACGCCAGTGACCTGAATGGCAGGAACGGGCTGTGCTGCATGGGGCCGTTCTGCAAGTGTACTGATCATACTTGCTTAGGGAGATCTCCCCAGATTGTTCCTGTCCTATCTCTAACTTGCCTTGTTTCTTTCCAGTGCTCCGCCATGAACAGCCTGGTGGAGATGATGCAGAAGCTGCAGCTGAACGATTGAGAGGAGGAGCATCAGCAGGCAGCGCTGCAGCGCATGGCGTTACAGGGCAGCGTTCCGAGTGCTGCCAACTCGGCACCCAACTTGGCATTTTATTGTAGTCAATAAAAAACAGCCACAATTAGAGATCGACAAAGAGCGCGTGGCCTGATTTGTCCTGTAGCATTCCATGAGCTGCTGCACCACTACTGGTCCAGAGTAGAACCTATGCAGCTTCGGAGCACCAAGCTGCCATCCTGGCACGGTTTTTGGAGGCAGTGCTCCAAGCTTTGGGCTGTAATACCCCTGACAATGAAAACACAACTTGCATTTTAACACGACACTGCTGTGCTTTGTACCAAATCATAGAATCATAGAATCATAGAATCACCAAGGTTGGAAAAGACCTAAAAGATCACCCAGTCCATCCGTTCACCTATTCCCAATAGCTCCTACTAAACCATGTCCCTCAACACAACATCCAGCCTTTCCTTGAACACCCCCAGGGTCGGTGATTCCACCACCTCCCTGGGCAAATCAGTGCTCCTTGGGTCTCTGAGGTAGGACAGGGTGAAGGGGAGCGGCGTGAAGCTGTGTGCAGGAAATCTGAGGGTGGGAGGGCACTGCCAAACCCAGCTGGTGCATCTCTGTGCAGTTTTGCCTTCCCGGGAGGAACCCAGAGATTCCCGGTAGTTTTCTGCTCCTGTACTGCAGTGTGAGCATAAGGTTCTGCTGCCTCCTTCTTCTGGAAGATCCTCTGCAGCCATGGACATCTGACACAGGCACCTGTCCTTTTCTGTTTGTTTTGTTTTTTAATCAGGACACATTATGCCTGTTGTGTTTTCTGCACGTTACTTACCAAAGTCACCATGAAAGGGTTTTGATTTTCCTGCAGTCAGATTTGCTCTCATGTAACAAGCTTCTGTAACATAGTCCATCTGACTTTTGAAATTATTTTGTTGAGGTTCAAGACATTCTAGTCTTTATAGTTTATAGTCTTTATAGCACCACCCTTCCCTCCTGCTTATAAGTTCCCATTTAATTACTGGAAGGCCACATCAGGTTTCCCCAGAGTATTCTCTTCTTCAGACTGAACAAGCCCAGCTCCTCGTGCTCTCGTGCCCAGGCACTCGTGCTCATGTATTGGTTCAGACTGTGACTTGGAAAGTCCACTACAAGTCACAGTAATGAGCAATTGGGGTGGGCGATGTGATAATAGCTGCTTGGAAACAGTTGTGATATTCCCTCCTATTCTACTTGTAATATCAGGATAATCTACACCTGACCTGGTACAAGACCTTTCTTGCATTTTCTTCCATCTCTTTCCCTGTGGTCCAACAGCCAATGATTTTCTGTACAAGAGAAACTTCTCAAAAAACAGGACAGTTCTTCTCCTGGATGCATACCCTGGGGAGGATTTCAGGTCAGAATGCTGAGGGCAGGCAGCCATTTCTCTGCTTCTCTTTATCCCTTCCCTACAAGTCGCCTGGCTGCAGTGTCTTGCTCCCAGCACCTCCCAAAAACCCCTTCTATTCCCACCAGGGATCTAAAGGAGAGTGAGTTGGAAGGAAAAAGTCTCCTCTCCGGCCTCCCACTTAGCTACAACTTTCACATGCAGCAAAATCGTGGGCTTTGCTCTGCTCTGTGTGTCACTGGAAGAGAGCACTGCATTGGAAAATGAGGATCTCGGGGTGCCAGGGCTCTGAGGAACGTGGCCACCACATCTGTCAGAACCAAGGGGTCTTGGGAGAGTCCCCATCGCCCCTCTTCAAAGAGATGGCACCAAGTCGCTCCTATTCTGAGAGCGAGAGGAGGTTCTAGTCCATATTCACGTCTTTATCCTCAACAGAATAACTTTTAAAAGCCAGATGGACTCTGCTATAGAAGCAGATGTCAAATGTGGCTTTTCTCCATTGAAAACTGATGCCTGGCAACTTGGAGACTAACATATATGTGTATAGAGATTTTTTTTCCCTTTTAATTTTAATAGTAAACTGAGTCTATACTTTTAATTCGTGATGAAATGCTAAAAATGTGTACTTTTGTTTTCTGCCAGTGCTTGGCTGACGGAGTTTTTGACCATTCTGTGGCATGGAATGCAACCAGCATGGAAGCATCGTTTGTTGTTGTGGATTCTGAGTAAGATTTCTCACCCTCTGCTCATGATGGGTAAGAGTTCAGATGTCCAACGAGAATGCTTGAGCTCTGCTTCTCCAGCATGTGTTTTTGTGTAAGTAAAATTGAACCGGTGACTCATTTCTAGCAGTGGTGACCAGCTCAGATGTGTTGGATGGTATCGTGGACATTGAGGAGCTGCTCACCTGGATCAGCGGTGAGTTTGAGGACGCAGAGCTGGCGGGTGGGTGTCTGCACAGAGTGGGTGCAGCAAGGCAGCTGTCGCCGTTTGGGGGGATGCTCTGGCTGTTTCAGACGTGGCAGGTGCTCTCGAGGATCCCCAGGAGAACCAAGATGGTTCCAAAGTCAGAGAGAAATACCTGAAGGGTGACCTGCTTCAGGACGAGCTGCTGGGGGAAGTAGACAGCCAGGAAAGAGAACAACTCATTGCATGGATCAGTGCCACGGAGCCACAAAGCCCTGATGTCTCCAGCAGCCCTGCCCCTCCTTGCTTCATCGCCCAGCTCCCCGACTTCCCACAGTACAGCAGGAGGTCAGCGAGGAAGCACGGGCTGCTGCCTGGACCCCCCCGACCCACTGTGGGGGCTGCTGCCATCCCTCGGGCAGCTCTCCGAGCTGCAGGGCCGGCCTTTGCTGCTGCCTGCTGTCGCACCACCAGAACTACCACTGCCGACCCTCTGGCTGCTCCTGCGCCTCCTTCGCTCCACCCTGCACAGCGCATGGATGTGGTAGATTTCACAGTTGCTTGTTTTTTAAAGCAATCTCTTATGGGAAACCATACAGAAAAACTCAGGTTTGTTTGAGCCCCTATAATTTCCATGATAGCTCGTTCTGGTGTCCAGAAGTTCGTACCACTTCCCAAACATTGGCTGGGAATGTCAGGGACAAAATGGAGGTCAGCACTGGGGGCGTGCTGGGGACGTGCTGAGGACATCCTGGGGTTTGGGGGAGGAGGTGGCGGAGGTGGCCAGTGAAAACGGGAAGAGAGTTTTGTTTTACAAAGATGGTTTTGTTTAATAAAAATGTTATCACGTGACGAGGTTCTGGCTCCATGTCAGTTTCTCCTCAATGTGTCAGCAGGATCCTCATGCATCCCCTCCCGTGTCCCCTGCTCATGTCTGTCCCCCTGTTCCTCTCTGTGTCCCTACGTATCACCTCCCTGTGTGTCCCTTCCACGCCCCCCTCTATGTCACTTCTGCTGTGTGCCTTCCATGTTGCTTCCCAGTGACCCCGTGATGGTTTCTGGTATCCCCAAAGCCACCTCAAGCACACCAAGGGGTCCCAGTGTCCCCATGGCAGAGCTCCTGGAATCCTCGTTGTTAGTTCTGGGATGCCCAAAGCCACCATGACCCCACAAGGGGATTCTGGGCTCCCCGTGGGGGTCCTAGTATCTCCAAGGCCATCGTGACCCTGAACCCGTCACCTCCTGCACGCATCACCACATCTCCCCTTGATGCCACCATGTCCCCTCCTGAAATGGCAGGAGATTGGAGACTCCCAGACCCTGCAGGGAGGTGACAGGGTTCACCCCCAGCCCCCTGGCCACAGAACCTAGCGTGGTTCTGGAGCGGTGCTGTTTCATCCTGCCACAGAGCAGGGGCTCCTGGAATCACTGAGGGGACACTGAGGTGTCTCGAGGGGCTGCCAGGGGGGCAAGATGAAAGGGGTGGAGCCAGACCTCCAGGCTGCAGGCCTCTGGGGGGTGACTGCAAACCCAGGGACCCCAACCCCAATGGAGTCCCCTCACGCTGCCCCAGGACCTCTCAACCCCTCCAAAATCCCTCAGTGCCAGTGGGAACTCCAGCCTCAACGGGACTCCCCATTTCTTCCCAAATATAATAAAGCCCCTGGAAGAAAGACAGGACCCCTGGGACTGCACACACCCTCCCAGCCCTTATTAGGACTCTCCCCATTAAAACAGGAGCCCAGAGAGCCCCACAACCCAACGGGACCCCCAGCCACAATGGGACTCCCCAGTCCTCCCAAGACCAGTAAGACCCCCTCCAACAAATCATATAGGAGATCCTGAAGTCCCCAGAGTCCCCAGCCCCAATGAGAGACGTCCTAACCCTCCCACCACCAAGACCATCACCTCTCCCCAAAGTCAGGACCTCTAGGAGCCCCTAAACTCAATGGGATGCCCCCGTAGTCCCACTCTTTTGGGGCCCCGCATTACTCCTGTGTTCTGCTGGCCCTTGGTGGTTTTGGTGCACCCAGCGTCCCCCCATTGTACCCTCCCTGGTGGTTCTGTGCCCCCATGTCCCCTCGGTCCCTGTCCAACTGGCTCTGGGGGCCCCTGGGCTGCCCTCAGTATCCCCCTTTGTTCCCTCCCCAGTTGCTCTGGGTTCCCAGTGCAGAAGTCATTGCTGAAAAATCACAGTTGTGTGTCTGCATCTGTAACTTCGGCTGGAAGTCCTAGGGCTTTCTCACACCTCAATTAGAAAGGAAACAAAAGCAGGAAAACGACACTGCAAGCTGAGTGGTGCTGAGGCAGCAATGACTTAAAAGGCAGAACCCTGTACAGCATCCCCCAGGGAGGGATGCCTGACAAGAGATCAAATACCTGCATCTTGCTCTGCAGGTCATCAGCGCGGTGACTCGTCATGCTAGAAAGGGGTGGGGAAAGGGGGACAAGTTGTTCTCCCCACACGCACAGTAGAAGACAGTAACTTTGGCTAAAATAAAATTTGAAAGTCCTCGGTGTAGAAAGAATTTTGTGTCTTTTAATGAGGGATTTGGGACAAATTTGAAGAAATTTGAAGGAGAAGGGGAAAGGAAATGGGGACATCATCCTCCAAGAGAGAAGCAGGACAGCGCAGGGCAGGCAGCAGATTCCTGAGGTGGCTGTGCATAAATAAAGGGCAACTGTCGGCTTCTCAGTTCTCCGCTCACGCGTGCTCACAGGGTGAGCTGCACCCCGCAACTGTCAGGGCCGGGCAATGAAGAACAGCACGTCGCAGATAACCTGGGAGACCAAGGAATCCAGCGCAGGTGACACGGAGATGTCCAACAGCCGCGACTCGTGCAGCGTGAACTGCGAGCGGCTCTCGCCCACCTCAGCCAGGGCGAGCAGCGCCCGAGCCGCTCGGCGCATCATGTCCACGCTCGGCGGCTCGCAGGGCGCGTTCTGCTCGGGCACCGGGCCGGCCTGGCTCTGCTGGCACCGTGCGGCGGCCAGGCCATCCTCCAAGAAGCCCAGCAAGTCGCTGACGCTCCTCTCCTGCGAGGCAATCGCCCTCGCTGCCAGGCTGTCCCCCTGTGCCAAGGCGGCCAGTAGGATCACCGCCATCTCTCGGCACACTGGGCTCTCTCTGTCACAGAGGAAACGCAGCAGGGTGCTGTACAGCATCTCCAAGCGGCTGGTGGGGGGAGCCGCGAGGATCAAATCCACGTTGGTGTCCCGGGTGCTCAGTTTGCTGAGCGTTTCCAAAGCCAGGCTCCGAGGGGAGAGGACGGCATTCGACCCCAGCGCTGGAAAAGGGTCCTGGGCCTCTGCTGATGGACACACTGCCCAGTGGAGGAGTCCGTCCACGACAGGCAAGCAGAGGCTTTCTGGGAGAGGGGACAGGTCCAGCTGGCCAGAAATGTTGGCCAGCGTCACCAGTGTGTTCTCACGCAGTTCCTGCAGGCAGTCCCGCCACCACTCCTCCTGGCCGCAGCTCAGCCCCTGGTCCTGCTCGAGCTCCTCTCTCTCCGAGCTCAGGGCTGCCTGCTTGCGCTCTGGGTGCTCATGGTGTAAGAGCAGCAGTTTCCCCAGGATGAGCAGCAGCCCAGCGTGTTTGCACATCTCGGCGTCATTGCCCGGCACAAACGACAAGCTCCTGATGATGTTGGAGACACAGATGCAGCGCTTCGCCACAGAGTCCTGCCAGTCGTGGGTGAGGCAGAGCGGTGCCTCGTCTCTGCTGCGAGGCTCATCCTCCAGAATTGCTGAGGAGCTGTCAGATGGAGGAGCCTGCCCTTCCCGAGCATTTCCATTGCTCTCAGCCGTGGAGTGCTCTCTCTTGCTCTCAAAGTGGGTCTGGATGTGCTCAGTGGTATCTCCGCCGCCAAGCTGCCAGAGCAGGTGGGCGCTCTCCAACCCACAGAGTGATCTTTGTCCTGGGCAAATACCCACCTCGTACTCCTCCAGGATTCCAAAGACCTCGATCAGGCAGCGCCGGAAATACTCCACCAGGACTTCCAGCAGGCCTGGCAGCTATGGGGGAGGAGAAAAACGGGAGGGGAAGGAAGGAAAGATGGATCAGTGACCACAAAATAACTGAGGTCGCTATGAGCAATTGGACAACCACTGCATAAAGGGCAGAGATCTTGAGGAGCTGCTTATTAATGGAATCTTTTCATTCTGGCAATAAGCTCTTTGCAAAAGAGAGCTTTCTGTCCACTCGGAACAGAAACAAGGGTCCCTGAATGTCAGGATCCAGCCTGCTCGTACCTGTGTAAACATGCATGCTCTCGGTTTTTGTCTCCTCTCTGAGTAACGCTCAGGAGAGAGGCAATGCTAAGCAGAGCAGCCTCTAAAGTATAGTGGAACAGTTTTTACAGCAGCCTTGCAGGCACGAGGCAAATCATGGAGACAGGCTGCCCCTTCTAGAGGCACCCAAGCCACGCTGCACGCTGACCCGTGCGAAAAGACAGAGCTGTTGCACCAGGAGAGGTGAGCAGCCTTCAGCCCTTCAGAGCGCTCTGCTGCAAAGCCCCTCTTGGTCTCCCCAAAATGGTTCCCTTTCTGCGTTAGAGGCGACACGTCCCACCAGAGAGGAGAGATCACGCGCTTGCACACCAACCACATGGAAATCCACGGGTCAGCGAGCACTTGGTGCTGAGCATCTGCACCCACCTGCCTGAGGTCAAAGGACGCGACGCTGCTGTCATCGTGGAGCAGGACAGTTATGGTGTCTAAGGCCCACGTGCTTTCAGCGAGCAGCCCAGACTTCAGAGACATCATCACCCTCCAGGCTGCAGGAGCTCCTGCAACACAAACACGTCATACTTCCAGACCCTGGACTTCAAAACCAAAAAGGAGGGACTGGATACTGCTTTTTTGCCTGACAAAGAGCACAGCCTGCTTAAGGCATTGCACAGACTCCATGCAAAAGCAGTCTCCACACAGACAGTGCCCAACACAAACGTTATACCCAGTCCTTCTGGGTCCCTTCACCCTTGCGTTATCACAGAACGACAGAACGTCCCAACTAACTTGGCAAAGGAGACCTCTTGCAGAGGTGGCAGAGCCCTTCCAATTGGCAGCACTGTACCAAAGGGGGATGGCAACACCCAGCCTCTCGATGGGCACAGGCAGAAAAGCAGGAGTTTCCTCTTACCAACATCTGCTGCTGTCAGCCGCCTCCTTTTCTGTAACACCGGCTTGGCAGCTTCCACCGATCCCGGAGGGAAGGAGACGGCCCGTCGCTTCCTGGCAGGCCGTTCCGCTGCTGGTGCCACACGCGCAGCAGGGATGGGCGGTCCTGCCTGCTTCTTTCCCCTCCCTGGCTGCGGGGATGCAGATTTGCTGGGAGCGGTGTGATTCTCCAGAGCTCTGGGCTGCTGCTGCGGCTGCCCCTGCCCGGCGCTGCATGGGACGCTGTGCATCCCCGCTTTGAGCCGCTTGGCAGGTGGGGTGCAGCTGCTGTCCATTGGTCGCCTGGGACTCTAGATGGAAAGTAAAGCCATCGGCAACATGAGGTCATCGAGCCAGAAACGGGCAACACAGACTCAATGGGGAGAAACGCTCAGCGCCAGAGGACACTTCCTCTCGGGCTCACCACCCAGTTCACAGGGTTCAGTGATCTTGCTGGCCATAGCAGAGGAACTGGACTGATGGAAGGAAACACATCAGGACTGAGGAGCACAAAAACACCTGGATCACGTCCCAGATGGCTTCAAAGAGCAGTCAGACTTCAAGGTTCTGCTGTCATATTCAGATCAGCTTTCTGCTAGACCCACACTTGTCTCAGATCAGGTCCATGTCAGTTTAAAAGACAACTACAACTCAACAAAGGTACCAGGGAACCAGCTGCTACTCGCAGAACATGCATTTC